GGCTATAAAAGGAGAGACCTTCATCTTTACCAAGTAAGTGAAAAACCTGTCACTAATACCTTTGGTGTCTTATTCCTATTTCTATTTCGATTACTAACTTGATCGTCGGAGTATTTAAGGCGGGACATCGCACCGGCGTCCAGTTCTTTGGTTTCAGGTCACTTGGGTCTCAAGCAGGACTGATCGTCCGTGTACCACATGGCCTTCTACCAAAATTCACCGTCAACAGTTGGCGTCATCTGCGGGGAGCGACGTTTTAAAGCCAAAAAATAAAAATTAGTTCTTCGCACTAAGACATCGTCGGGATGATCTCCGACAAGGAGTTGTCCTACGAAAACACCTTCGACGAGGAGCGTCCGTGTGACAAGACCATTGACAAGCCTGCTTCGACTCCCCCTGCACCGCAAAAGGCAAAGGGGACCCGAGACATTGTCAACGTGCTCCGCCCAGTAGGACATCTCAGCAAAAGGAAGGTGGGACATCCCCACCAAGAGAGTTTTGGATTTCGTAGCGAGATGAGGGCGACCCACGCCCAGTGACTTTCCAGGTGGGAAGGCTGATTGAGATCTTGGATGACTGAACCCGTGAAACATTCCCTCTTCCAAATGAAGCGCGGTCGAATGAAGAATTACTGAGGGGGAACCTCGGGCCCCAACGCATGAAAGACTTGGAAACGAGGACCCCCAGGCGTCTTTAGGACTTCCCGAAGGCTCGAGAGACCTCAAGGATAAGCTCAACAGAAACCGCACCAGACACGGTCCGACTGTCTCTAGCCTGGATTCAGAAACCAGCACCGAGACGTCGAGCAGGCTGAGTAATTACCAAACTGGGATCACCCGGGAAGATCTAGATCGAGTCAAGGAGGAGACCCATAAAGCGCTGTTGCACGGGGCGGGCACGTTTGTTGGCCACCACATGCACGCGTTCGGAGTCTGGGAACTTACGATCGCGAAAACGAGACCAAATCAGGAGGGGGCGGCAGACACACTCCTAAAGGTCACGATGGCTTGGGAAAATCGCCATCAAGAACGGGAGAAACTGGGGGATGCAAGGAATAATGTAAAAAGGGTAGAAGCCTTCTCTTCCCTCTCCTCCTTTTTATAGCCAGAGGGGGAGGTCCCTCTTCTGGGCAAAACTGTCACTTCACACCAATACAGTCTTGAAGCGTGAGTAAAGTAAAGAAGACAAAATTGAAAAAGGAAAATTTCATTAATCTCAAGTGGGGATTGTGGGGCCCCCAAGACCCATTACAAAATATGAAGGAAAAGCGGCGCCTCCGCTACAAAATATGCAGGGATACTAAAAAAAAAGGAGAAAATACCAAAATGGAGCAGCATCCACGGGATCAGTGCGCAGGGGCGTTTCGCAACATCCTCTGCTCTAGGCCCCTCACCCTACAAAAAAGAGACTGGCAGGCCTGCTCCGTTTCCTCCATCCCTCAGAAGACCTCCCAGACCATTTCAACAGCAAAGTTACGACCATTCTTAGCATCGCACAATTCCTCCTACACCTGGTGAAGTTCCTTTTCCAGTCCAAAGATGCGTGAGATGAGTTCATCCCTGCTCAGACCTTCGAGTTCAGGAGGATCCCACGAAGGAACGATCCGGGGGTCTAGAAAGGTCGCCCGTGCATTAGAGGGCTCTCTCTCCTTTCTTCCTTCGAAACCTCCCTCGGCCTCTTCCCCGGCATCATCTTCCTTGTTCGAATGGTATCCACCATTGGAAACTTGGTAGTCTTCCTCCTCCTCTCCAGCGTCATTCTCCTCTTTCTCCTCATCCGACAGAAAGGAATCCTCATTCCCATCGAGGGGATCCCCTTAGGAAAGATGTGGCCATTTTCCGAGGGAGTGTCCACTCGAATGAGATTACTGTTGGAGGAGCCAGACATTTCCTTCTTAGTTAATGGATGAACCAGAGGGGAGCAAAAGAGAATAACGATGACGACTGAAGAAGGGACCAACTCTCAATTTAAAGGAAGAAGGGAGTAACCCCCAGCTATTAGATCAAACGACCACGTGTTGCTTTTTCAAGGGCGCATCGCTCCGTATTCGGAGATGAGTGAAATGACGTGTCAGATGGCCTATAAGGGACGCCTTGAAACGCACGCGACATGATGACAAAAAAGAGCCAATGGTTGGGGGAACACGGTCCAAGGACGATCCCGCGCGCCTCCAAATATGGTAATAAGTATGCTGACATGTACGAAATCAAAGTGAAGAATCCTGCCACCGCCAGCCTTGGGGAGCCTCTCAGCGAGGACTTTGGCAATAATCTTGTAGAGGGAGGTGACCAAGCTAATGGGGCAGAAGTCACTGACTTAGCTAGCTTTATTCTTTTTCGGTATAAGGAAAATGTAGGTCTCATTTGTCCTTCGGTTGATTATTCTTTTTTAAAAAAATCATGGAACACGCTGATGAGATCTAGCTTCAAGGTGTTCCAGGACTTTTTCTAAAAACTCGTTTGTCATACCGTTGGGTCCCGAAGACTTGAGAGTGTCAAGTTGCCTAATTGCATTATGAACTTCCTCATCAGTAAACGAGGCTTCCAAACCAAAACTATCCTGCTAATTCAAAGGGTGCCACTCAACTCTATCCCACCAAAGCAGTACCGAATGCCCTGTTTGGCCTTATACTGTGATTTGAAAAAGCTTATGATCTCTAGTTCTATCTCTGCTTCAGTAGTCAGAGGGTTTCCAAGTCTGTCTTCTAGAACTGAAATAACGTCTTCTGCACTTTCTTTGAGAGGCCCATTTGTGGAAAAAAAAATGGTGTTCTCATCCCCCTCCTTCAGCCACTATAACTTGCATTTTTGCGCCAATTTTCTTTGTTCGTTAATTGTTGCTTCTAGCAAAGATGCTTTGAGGCCTAATCTTTCTGTGAACAAGTCAGGGGACAGACACCCCTCTCCTCTTCTACGTCCATATAGCTAATTCTAGACTGGAGGTCCACTTTCTCCTGTTCAATGGAACCATAGATGTCCCTATTCCAAACCTTCAACTTCTGTTCACGGAGCTTCTCCATAAAGACATAGCCCGGCCAGCCCGAAATATTCATGTCTTTCCACCAATCCTCAACAATTTCGGATAACTAGGGGTGTGAGAGCCACAGAAGGGTGGGGAGCCCCATTTTTGGAAACCCGAACAGAGAAGAAAAGGGAAGTGATCAGAGGTAGTTCTAGTCAATCTTTGAAGGACAACTTCCTTAAACGCTTGAATCCAGCCCTGAGTGAACAGTAATCTATCAATACAGGAGAAGAAAGGTTGTTCTCTGAAATCAGACCAAGTATAGGTGGCATTATTCATCTAGATGTCTTCCAGCCTCATCTCTGCAAGAACAGAATTAAAATCTCGCATACTTTTAGTCACTCTATTCCCTCTGTTTTTTTCCGTCAGGGATCTCACCACGTTGAAATCCACCCCCACCCCACCCCAAGGCTATCATCACCCATTAGACATCTACCGATTTGTATAAAATCTAGATCTAGCTGCAACCGTACCCGGATGGCAATGAGGTTCCAATCTTTATTTTCCACAAGTCCATTTTCGGAGAATACATTATCATAGTCATGAATAACTGCATAAGAGACATGGATTATTATATTACAGTACTACAATCATAACATTCTCTATTTAATGCCCTGTACAAGCTTAATATAAAAAGGGATCATGACGAAAGAAAACTTAGACAAAAATAAGGTAGAAGATTACCGATTATCTAGATTATTTTAGATGAAGGAAAGATTATCATATATGGCACATAATAATCAAGGAACATGAGGGAAATTGATACTGATGCATATAAAAAATTACGATCTGTTTGAAAGTCAGCCACAGTTACATCTTGTTCGTGAAATTAAAGAATCAAGATTTACCTGGGTTGCCAAGCTGTTATGAAATCTTTGAAAGGTCAGATCCTCCCACAGCACCAACTGTAACAACCTGTAGAATTTAAAAAGAAGGAAAATGTTCTACATAGATATTTGCTTTTCAATCAAGTGATTTAGGTACCCTTCGGAGATTCCCCATAAATTACAAAATCCCTGAAATTGTACCGAACTTTTTCCTTTAAAACGATGCTCCATAGAACAGTACATACACCTACACAATGTATTACGAAGGGTGTACTGAATACTGATACGATAACATTGATAATTCAATGGATCAACTAGCATCAGGGAACGTCTTTTGTTTACATTTGTAGGAGCTGTTAGAGTCCCATCGACATCAAATAAAGCAATGACTCCAGGTCTCCTCACAGCTATTAGACTCGATATACTTTCTTCTGCCAACAGAAACATCATTCCCGATTACAATTTGATTGAGTAGCCATTTTTAAAACAGATCGTTAAACTGGAAGAGTTCCTAAAACTTCAACGGCTAAAACTTATTTGTTTACACAATATCAGCATTACGATTCTCTAGTAATCCAAGACAGGGGGAATCATAATTTCCAGCGAAAATGTGGGTACGTTGCAGACTACTGTATAACAAAAGGTACAGTAGATATTGGGAAATGGAGTTGAATTAGTTAATCAATACAACGTGATAGAGAAAAGCAACGAGAGAGATACTTCAAAGTTCAACTTAAAGATTCTGCCACTGAAGTCGAAGCAGATCTCAAATGGCGGAACCTGATGCTTGCCGTGGGAGAATATGCGGAGAAATCTTGTAAAGAGATGATTGAAAATTCAATGGCGTGCGCTTCAGATCTGCTATTTAATTTGCCCCAACGAGATTAGAGTACAGCGGACAGTGATTCTGGGACAGGACTGGCTTGGAACTTTTCTTCCCCTTACAGTTGACGACTTTTCGATTCAGGGGATGAAGATGAAGATCGAACTATTTTTATTGAATTGATGGTCTCGGTTCGTGAAAATGGACAAGCGAAGCGAACAAATATTCATGGTCGGACAAACCGATTTTCAATCGAACCGGTCTGTTCGGTTTTGTTTCACTTTTTCTTTTTCTTTTTTCTTTTTGTTTCTTTTGTTAAAAAAAAAAAACACAAATTGTCTTCTTTTCTTAATTTAAATTTTTGTTATTATTTTTATTAACATTTGTGAAGAAAAAAATTATATCTGGACTAAAATACATAGTCTACAGCAACAAATTTTTTGTATTTCTATGAGTTCCAAATCTCTTGTAGCACTCGATTGTCTTATTCGATGGAATTCTACATACTTCATCTTAGCTACAACTTTGGATTATAAGTTTGTTTTTCCTCGATTGAAACAATGGGAGTCGAAATACAAATGTTTGACTTTAGAGCAAGATTGGATATTGGCAAAAGAGGTATATATGCTGCAAATATATTTTTCCCAAAAATTTGTCAAATCAAGTTATCTATTTCTGAGCCAACTAAATTTTATTTGAAGAGATTAGGAGCATAACTTAAAAAACTGATGACAAATTTTGACAAGTATTGGACGATAATTCATGGAGTAATGGCAGTAGCATCAGTCTTAGATCCACATTTAAAGATGAAATCGATTGAGTTTTACTTTCCTCGGTTTTATGGAGATGGTTCTTTTCTTGAGGTCGAGAAAGTTAAAATTCTTTGTTCAAATTTGGTGAAGGAATATTAAATGAAACATAATCTTAGAGTCAATGCTTATTCTTAGAGTCATGATTCTTCCACAAATTTTAATTAGGTAAAATATAAGGAAGAGTTGGGAGATGATTGTGAAGAGTATATTCAGTTTGTTTCAAGTTCGGATAGAATTGGTAGAAAGACTGAATTGGATCTATATTTAGAGGAATCTGTTTTACCCCGATCATCTAATTTTGAGATTTTGGGTTGGTGGAAATTGAATGGAGTAAAATATCCAATTTTACAACAAATTGCTAGAGATATATAGGTTATTCCATTGTCCATTGTTGCATTAGAGTCTGCATTCGGTACAAGCGGTCGACTTGGAGCACACATCGTAATAGACTCCATCCAAAAACATTAGAAGCTTTGATGTATGCCAAAAATTAGATAATCAATCAAATTATGGTAGGTATGTTTCGTATTTAACATATATTTTTTGTGTATATTAATTCATAATTTCTTTTATGTCATACGGTACCACTAATGGAAAAGAAATGATTAAACATCTAAGTACTATTTTGGAAGATTACGATAACGAGGTATGCATCATTTTAATAGTGAAAAAATCATGTTTATTTTTCATAATATCATTCACTAATTATTTTTTACTTTAGGATATGTAACCATGCTTACAAAAAGATATCTTTTTCTTTGACATTCAATCATGCTAAGAAAAATGAGGTATGAAATTCTTCTCCAATAATAAGATTTCAGTTTATTATTGAACTTTTATATTGTATTATACTTAATCAATAATCTTTATTATTACAGAAAATGTTGTTACAAAGATTTTAGTGTCATTTCGAGGGATACCTATGGTCGTGCCAAGATAATTGTCATTGTTTTATTTTTATTCTAGACTTTTATAATGTATTTTTATCATGACTTTGATAATGAAACTATTATAATATTATGTTAGGTTAATTTTATGTTCATAATATTATGTTAATTTTCTTTATTTTTCTTTGGTTTAGATGGATTTTTCTTTTAAATAATTATTTTTTAAAAACAAATAACACAATTAGGGTATGTTTCAAAGTAATTACAAAAATAGGGTAGATAAATTGTAAGGATAGGCTGCGATTTTACCAAAGTCACGGACATGGGCTGCGATTTCATCATAAATCGCAACCATTGTCCGCGACTAATGTCGAAATCTCAGTCAATGACCGTGTGGCTGCGACTTATCCTTGACGTGGCTCCAATCGAACCACGTCTCTACTGACGGTTGTGTGTTCTTTTTCTTTTCTTTTATTTTTATTTTGAATTTGGAAGTTGCTTTGTTTTTTTTTCGCCCTCCACTTACTTTGTTTTTTCTTTTTTCTTTTTTATATTTTTGAATTTAGGAGTTGCATGGGACTTCCCACCAATATCCCTTTGTTCTTTTTTTTTTTAATTTTATTTTAAAAAATTAGGATTAAAAAAAAGAATAAATTGTATAATATTAATTTTCCGTATATTTGAAAAATAGATGACGAATTACCTATGGACATCTTCCTATAATGCAATAATTTAAAACACAAAAATTATAAAAAAAATCCTAATTATCCATACCCAAGATTTAGAAGCGACCTCTAAATCCCAAACCAAAATTTGGATTTTGTTTCAAAGTCATGTATTTGGCGACGGAAATGACAAAATGGCAAAATAAATGACAAAACTTGTGAATTTCATGTAATTTATACCTTGACTTTATGTTTTTATTAATTTAATAATTTTTTATCGATTTAGTTTATATTAAATTTAAATGTTATTTTATAGAACATATGATGATGAAGCACAATGAGTTAAATGACATTTTAATCATCGAATTGGTTTTAATCTAATTTCAAACTTTCATGCTTTAAATGACATTTTAATCAAAATTTAAAATATAATAACAAAAAAATAAAAAAAATAATCACATCTTAATTAAATTTCGTAATATTAATAAAATAACAATATATAAATTAAAAGATGACGCGACTTCCGCCTAGTCACCTGCCACGTCAAATATACACGTTTGCACAGAAATCGCAGACATTGTACGCGAGTTTTGACTTAGTTAAAATAAAATAAAATAAAATCCTATCGGCAGAAATCCAAAAGTGTAAAATTAAGAAAATTTAGACATTTATATAAATAAGTTTCTAAAAGAACCCTCCAAAGATATTATCTCTAAATTTTGTGATACGTGTTCACGTCCAAAGTGTAACTTGATAAAATAAAGTTTGGATAAAAATTAATATACCTGATAAACAATTAAATATTAGGGGAAAATTTAATTTCTTTTCCCATTCAAAAATAAATGACCAAATGAAGGAGGCTAGTTTATACATTTATGGTAAAACAAAAAATCACGATATAGTGTTTTATGACTCCATGGCCCAGTGGATAAGGTGTTGGTCTACGAACCAGGTTCGCTCCCCAGTGGAGTTGATTTATTTTTTCAATTCTTTTTATTATTTTTTTAAGGTTAAATTAAAAAAATCCTTAACCTTTACCATTTATTTAAAAAATTAAAAATTAAAAAATAACACTTAAACCATTTCACAAGTTTATTCATTAGTGTTTTGTATTCCTTTTATTATTTTTTTAAGGTTAAATTATAAAAATCCTTAACCTTTACCATTTATTTAAAAAATTTAAAATTAAAAAATAACACTTAAATCATTTCACAAGTTTATTCATTAATGTTTTGAACATAAATTAACATTTCGCCTAAATTTCTCCATTATCGAGATAGTTTATTAATTTTTAGGTTAAAAATTAAATAATGGTTAAATAGATAACAAATTCATGACCTGGCATTTTTTTCATAGATTTTTCTTTTTTAAAAACACATTATTTCTTGGGAAAATAGACAAAATAAGCGGCTCTTTTAAATTTTTTAATCATCCTTTTCAAAACACAAATTTTATAGACATTTGCTGATATCACATTCACACCAAATGATCTCACTACCCCTCTACTAATATTTTAGACTTCCCTCCTGATTTCCTCTCTCTACCTCCATCTCCCTCTGAGTTTTAAATTGCAAAGTTTGTCATTCATTTGAAAATAATTTCTATCTTTTCAAAAGTTTATTTGTTAATATTTTGAACAGAAAATTAACACTTCAAGATTGTTTTTAAAGTCTTCTTCCTTCGTTATCAAAAGAATTTGCTTCTTCAATTTTGTTTTAATATCCCTTAAAAAAAATAGCTTATTCCACATTTTCACATTTCTCCTTTTCCCTAAATTAGAAAAGGTTTCAACGTCTGATTGTCAGGTTATTTTAAATTTTACCACATTAACTTTTGGTTTAAAATATTAACATAAATTTATTCGTATTTTTTAAACTTTTACGAAAGGTTTAAGAATAGGATCGAAAACTTTTGAAAAGATTAGAAAAGTTAAAGATTTTATATATATATATAATATATAATTTTGCCTTTTTTAAATGGCAGAAAAAGAAAACGACGTCGTTCATATCGCTACATAGTACAGTCCGTTAACGTGGCCATGGCCACCCATTAGCAGGGGACCTTGCTCTATACTTCCGAAAGAAGCCGCGAATTCCATTACCAGGGGATTCAGATATGCCAATTTCATTGTCTCGACTGGGAAATTCCATCCCCTTCTCCGGCCTTTTCAGGTAATACCTCAAATCTAGTTTCTGCAGATCCTATTGGCGTCGTTATTTGCTGAAAACTTTCTGTAAATTCAACATTTTAGGATCGATAAATG